CCACACCCAGCCCTTTAACCTCAGTTTTATGATATTAGCTCAGTGCAGAAGGGGCCCAGACCCAAGGAAAGAGCAAAGGGCGCTTGTGGGGAACATCTGAGGAGGTAAAAGGAGACTTGCCTACCTCTCCTGCTATCACAGCCAAAACACTTAAAAACCCGGAGAACAAATGGCTGAAGACTAAAGACAAATAAGGCAGAGAAGAGGTGAAAGCATGAAGAGGAGCCAGGTGGCAGGTGCCTCAGGGGCTATTGTCTTTTCTGCTTCTTACTGGACACAGCCTTGGTAGCCTGAAGTTGGAATATGTAACAAGCAAAGGCAGCAAAGCTCCAAGAAAACCTCTCTGTAGACAAAGCTGGGACAAGTGGCCCCTGGAGCAGGCAAGAGGGGAAGGGTCTCTGTTTCCCTTCTTTCTCTCTCAGTCCTCTGCAGTGCCAGGCTCCATCAGGTAACCACACTACTATGGCTCTGGCAGCATTGTATCTGAAGTCCTGAGAGAAACCCTCTTTTCCCACTGGGCATGCCTGTAATCCCAGCACTGTCCGCAGCGGAAGCAGAAAGACAGCAAATTAGAGGCCAGGCTGAGCTATACTGTGAGACTGTGTCTAAAAAGAAGGAAGGGCTGGGATATAGCCCAGCAGTAGCGTGCTTGCCTAGCCATGTCAAGCCTCTGGCTTCTATCTCTAATACAGTAAAATAAATAAAATAGTTAGCCAGGTGAGGTGGCATATACTAGAATCCCAGCACATGAGAGGCTGAGGCAGGAGCTCACAGCAAATCTGAGGCCAGCCTGAACTACACAGGAAGGGCCTTCTCAAAAACAAAACGAAACGGAAATAAAATAAAAAATAAGCAGAAGAGAGGGAGGAAGAGAGGAAAGGATAAAGAACCGGAAGAAAGAAAACAGAGGAAAGGCAAATCTGTATCTGTGGATCAAGGAACCAGAACAATGTGTGTGTGTGTGTGTGTGTGTGTGTGCGTGCGTGTGTGTTTTATTTAGGAATAAATTCTGGAATGACATTCATGCTATAAGTCACTCTCCATCACTATATTGACTTCTTGTCTTTTTTTTTTTTTTTTTTTGAGGGGGTGGAGGGATAGGGTCTCATTATGTATGTAGTTCAGGCTGGGCTTGGACTAGTAGCCATTTCCCTGCCTCAGCCTCCTGAGTGCTGGGATTATAGGTGTTTGCCACCACACCCAGCTTGACTATCTAGACATCTAACACCAGTTACAAAGGCTTTTTTTTTTTTTTGTGGAACTAGGGATTGAACTCAGGCCCTTGTGCTTGCCAGGGAAGCGCCTATTCCACTGAGCCATCTCCCTGGCCCCAACAAAGGCATTTTTAAAAAATTAAGAAAATACAGCATTTAAAAATTGATTTCCATCCCTCTTGAAAACTAGAATCTTGGTTACACTCACCCTGGTCTAGGTGCCCAATGGATGGCATGGATCAGCTCTTTGTTTGCCTTTTTATTTTTATTTATTTTTATGTATTCGGTACAGGGTCTCTCTAAAGCAGCTTGACTCATAGTGATCCTCCTGTTTTCAGCCTCCCCAGCACTGGGCTTACAGACGTGCGCCCCCAGGCCGGGTCTTGGTGGCTGGCTCAGTGTGCCCGAGGGCAGGGCCAGCATAGCATGCGGTGCTGGGGATTGAACTTTGGTCCCTGTGATTGCATAAGCAGGCGTTTCGTCTGCTGAGCTATCTTGCCATCCCTGTTCTTTTTAGCTGGGTACCCAGTCCTTCTCACTCTAATCTTGGCAGCATCATCCACTTATATCACCAGCCTGGTTCCAAAGTTCTACTGAGCTTATAACTAGTTGGCCAAGTCCCTGAGAATGGCTATTTTAGCCATATTTGGAATTTCCTTATTAAAAAAATATACATTGAGCAATGTTGTGTATTTTTTTTCCAAGGAAACTGAGAAATGTTCACTCAAAAAACTGTTCTTTTTTTTTTTTTTGTGGTACCAGGGATTGAACTCAGGACCTTGCACTTGCCAGGCAGGCACTTATTCTACTGAGCCATCTCCCTGGCCCTACTCAAAAAACTTATACACAAGTAATATTCAAAAAAAGTCAAAGGAGAGAGACATGGTGGCACAAACCTGTAATTCCAGTACTTGGGAGGCTGAGGCAGGATTGCCTGGAGTTAAAGCCCAGGCGGGGCTACACAGTGAGTCCAAGGCCAATCTGAACTGTACAGCAAGACTATTGTCCCTCCCCCAAAAAAGCCAAAAGATAGAAACATCCCAAATGATGAATGAGTGAAATAAAATGTGGTATCTACAAATAATGGATTGTTCAATCCTATCAAGGAAGTAAGAGCTGGCCCATGCTATGACATAAGCTATGCTAATCATACGTATTGTATGAATCTAGTCATATAAAATTTCCAGCAAAGGTGAATCCATAGAAAGTAGGCAAGGGGCTGCCCAAGCCTTAGGAATCAAGATAGTGAATCCTTACAGGTAGGCTTTTATTTTTTTATTTTTGTAATGAAAGGTTCTAAACTAGTGGTAATGATTATACTATTGTATGAATACAATAAAAACCACTGGATTTTACATTTTATTACATTTTATCATGTTTGCAGTACTTAGGGATTAAGCCTAGGACTTCACACTGAGCTGTATCCCCAGCCCTTTTAAAATTTTTTTGAGATGTGATTCCACTATGTTGCTAAGTTACCTGGGCTGGGCTTGTGAAACTCGTGCCTCAGCCTTCCAGATACTGGGATTACAGACATGTACCTGTAATCAGTCAGCTGGGTAGATAAATTATAGCTCATTAAAATTGTTACTTAGAAAGCACTGTGGCAAACATCACTGAATATCATCTTTTTTTGAGTTGCTGGATCACAAGGGCATTTTATTTTTTAATTTCTCAAGAGGGGCTAAACCAGTTTCTTGTATGATATGGCCTTTCTATACCTAGCTATAGTTCATTTTGCTGGCCTAATGACTGAAAAACTGGCTGACTACAGTCTACATTCCCCTGGTTAACCACAGACAGTCTGTCCATATTTTTTGGCCACTTTTCTTCTTCCATTTTCTGTTCATTTCTTTCACCTTTTTTGGGGGAATGTATTTTAACTTGTAGGTAAACACTAATTTATTCTGGAGATATACTATTTTATATATTGCAAATATTTTCTCATGGGGCCAGGGAGATGGCTCAGTGGAATAAGTACTTCCCTGGCAAGTGCAAGGGCCTGAGTTCAATCACTGGTTCTGAAAAAAAAAAAAAAAAAAAAAAATAAAAATATATATATATATATATTCATATATTAAATTTTAATGTTAGGTAAAACCATTATGTGGCTGGAACATAATTACTACATAGGTGTACCATTTTCATTAATAAGGACAAGATTGTGAGTTTACCTCTAATTTTCATAGGTTGATTTAATTATTGCTACAGCTACCAAAGGAAATCTCCAGCTCTAGCATTTTCCTTTTTTTTTTCAAAACAAGATTTTGCTATGTAACCTAGGCTGACCTTGAACTCATGATCCTCCTGCCTTGGTCTTCCAGTACCGAGTTCAGATGTGTGCTACCTCATGTGGTTAGTGGCTTTCTTTACATTTCTTCTGTTTTATTTTGGCAAGAACAATCCAGGATCTGAGGAACTGCAATCTACCCAGTCCCTAGATACACTTGGTGGAGGCTGCATGGCTCACAGACCCGCGGGAAAAAGGAAGTAACATCAAGCAACCTGCGGTTCTTTTCTCAAACACTGTACAGGAGTGAAGTATCAAGAGCTGGCCCGCTGCTGATCTTTTTGGCCTCATCGATGTGTCCCACGGAGACAGATGCACACATTCTCCTGCGGTTCCCAATCTGACCTTAGCAGGTTTACACTTAAGCATAATTAATCAGAGATAATTAAATCAAACTCAAAATGTCCTTTATGGCTGTGGCTTTTTTTTTTTTTTTAATGGAACTGGGGTTTGAACTCAGGCCCTTGTGCTTGCCAGGCAAGCACTTATTCTACTGAGCTATCTCCCTGGCCCCTGTGGCTTTTTAATGCATTCTGAAAACAGATTCCTAATGGGCTTCACCTAGCAAGATGGCTCCTTTGCTCCAGTTGTGGCTGCTGCTTGAAGGGCTGGGAAAGCTGTGGGCTCTTTCCCCTGAGCAAGGACACACAGTCCCTGCCAAGGACGTCCCTTAGATGCAAGGCCTCAACTCGTGCTCCTGACCTCACAGATGCCTTAAGCTGCAGATTTTAAATCACACACACTCTCTCTCTGTCCAGGGACTTTACTAGGCTACCCAGTTTGGTCTGGTCTTCCAGGTCACAGCCTTCAACCAGGAATAGAAGGGTAAATAAATAACAAGGTTACATTTTTTCCCTACAAGGTAATCTTAGCCTCTCATGTTCCAGTCTGCTGTTACCATTTGCCACTTCTCATGTCAGGCTAGTGAAGCCTAAGTGGCAAGGTCACTGAACATTCCTTCCTCCCCAAATTAATGAGAACTTAAAGCAGAAAACTTCCAACAGCATAGTAAGAGAAAAAAAAAAACAAAAAAACAACAAAAACCTGAAGCGAGGTGTGGTGGTTCTGCCTGTAATTCCAGCACTTGGGAAGCAGAGGAAGGAGGCTCACTATGAATTCCAGGCTAGCCTGGGCTAGGCTGAAGGGCAGCCTGAACCACACAGCAAGACTCTGTCTCAAAAAAAAAAAAAAAATCTTAACAGCTGTATTTTGTACCTGAGGGGAGAGAACACAGACCTGAAGCTAGCAGAGCCACACGTGGGCTGGGGTCCAGGGTGGGGACACTGCAGTGCTTCTGTCAAATGTAGCTGAAAAACTTAAGATTCAACTTAACATGATTATCACAGATGGGAGAAGAAGCCTCATGCTTCACATTTATTACATTGCTAAAACACATTCCACAAGGGCTGTGCTGTGGCCCAGTGGCCAGGCACTTGCTTGGTACATTTGAAGTTTGATCCTCGTCTCACCAAAGAAAAAATCAAGGAGTCTATAAAACTATTTAGAAAACATTTATTTGAACATATGAAAGGAAAATTTAGAGACGCCCGATAAAACAGAAGTTCCTTTGTGAACAGGTGTCTGTGAGCGGCGCCCGGGCTGCCCAAGTTGGGGTCGCAGCACTTCCATTCTGAGCTCACGGAGCTGCAGAAGGAGCCTGTGTCTGTGGTAGGGATGAGTCACATTCACAGACCGAGAGGTGGGCAGATGGGTGTACCGCCGAGGCTTCTCTCTAGTTCTCCCCTGGGCACAGGCTCCAAGGGCTCGCCTGGATGGCAGCGAGTGAGCCAGAGCCCACAGAACCGGAATATGAAAACACTGGCGGAACACTCTGCAGAGGCCAGCATGCTTCCCTTTCATCCATCCAATCTGGATTTTTAAGAATGTGACCAGGCAGGCAGGCAACTGAACGGTGACTTGGAACTTCAAGTGAAGATGGTCTGCCAGCCAGGAGGAGCCGCCTGCTGCCTCCCTAGGCTCTTCTTCTGGGGGGGCCAGCACCCCTTCTCTCCAGAAGGCTCCCCTGACCCAGCTGCAGAAGGCACTCGGCCATGACATGGCTCGTTACAGGCCGGCCTAGCGGATTGGCCTGAATGGAAACGTCACGCCAGAGAGGAAGGTGTGCCCAGGGTGTGTGGGCAGGGCAGGGTGGGCAGCAGGATGGGCCGGGACAGCCCCATAGCCCAGCGGGGGCGTGTGGATGTGAGGGTAGAACCCAGGGGGCAGCGCTGTGTGTGGTGACTGCTGCACTGGGCCAGAGATCACCAGCTGGAGCAGGCTGCAGAAACAAGGAGAAGCATTAGGATCCTAGGGCGCGATCACCCCCTGCAACACACGTGCGGTAGGGCCGGCTCTGTCCCTCTGCATCCATTACCAGGACACGGAGATGCTCCACAGGCCCACCTGCCAGGACAGGCATCAATGAAGACCCGTGTCACATGAGCTTCCAGCTGGGGGACACTGAGCACCAGAGGAGGGAGGAAGCCTATAGGGAACAGATCAGCAGGCAACCCAGCATGGCCAAAGTTTAGCCAGAGGAGGAGCCAGCAGGGGGTGCTACACTGCAGGTCACGGCCACATGGATGCTCCTCTGCCTCCTGAGTGGGGGGAGGACAGCCCCACAACACCAGCTCATAAAGTCAGGCTTAATAACTACGTCATAAGTAAATTCAGGCATCATGAGCCCTTTTCAAAGTAGTCTTTTGAAGAAGCCTGAAATCAAGAATCCAGCACAGCACTCTTTGGGCACAGTTCGCACCATGACCCCGTCCCTCCTGATTGTGGGACCCACTCCCCCATGCTACTCCCCAGCTTGCAAAGCTATATCCTGTCTAGCTTATAAGCTCCTCTACACTGGACTGCAGCTGCCCCACCAGGCCTGGTCCCTGGGTCTCCGTGAACAACCACCTGCCTCACCAGCATCCTAGGCCCCCCACCACTGGATACATCCCTGCCCAGCTGCCTGGACTCCCCACCCCTCTCCTCTTCTTTAAAATTGTAAGTTGTAGTTCCCACTCCCTTTTTTTGGTGGTACCAGGGATTAAACTCACAGGTTTCACATTAAGATATATTTTCAGCCCTTTTTCATTTTCAAGACAGTCTAAGTCACAGAGGCTGGGCTCATGCCTCAGTTTTCAAGAGTACTAGGACTACAGGCCTTTGCTACTGAGTCCAGCTCACTAGGTCCAGTTCACTGTGTCTTTCTGAGACTCCATAAAGGTTCCCCATTCTGGCCCAGGCCTCCTAGGATGATCAGCAGGACCTCCCAGAATCACTAACCATCTCTAGCTCTTCTCATGTGGCCTCAAGTAATCAACTCCCCAAGGATGCTCCCCATTGGAAACGCCTGGCTCTTCAGGCTGAGGACACAGACTGCCTCCTTCCCTCCCCTTCCCTTTCCCTGGCCCCCTGCTTTGCTCCCGTGCAGACACACAGGCACTGCTTGGCTTCAACCTGGGCCTTGCCTAGCTGGAGGGTCTATGCTAGTCTCTCCTACCACTGAACAAAGGCTGTCAGGCCCGGTTCCCCCTTCAGCCCTCATCCTACAGTTCTGCACCTTCCCCACACACTATCAGGGTGACGTTGCTGCGTCCTGTCACAGTCTGCTCTCTAGTGGACTGCCAGCTCTCTCCCACTGCCTAGTTCTTCCAGGGGAAGGGGCTGGCTGGTCACAGCTGACCCCTATCTGCCCACCCACAACACAAAGGGGCTCCAAGTCTTCAGGAAGGCCTTGGGCATGGGGTCAGTAGTGCCTCTGTTTCACTTATGTTTATTTTTCTGATAACACTTGGTAAGAAACTTGGTCAAAAACTTAACCAACCCAAGGAGTACCACAGAGGCAAAAGAAGATCTGTTTGAACCTGCACACCCTGCCAGAGATAAAAAGCTATTTCCAGGCATTTCCAGCCTAGTTGGAAAGTTGAGTAATACCAAAGAGTCCATTAGAATTCAAAGGATTTGTAGTTAAATTCCAAGGAATTTTCTTAGAATTGAGGCCCAGAAAAAAAGAAGAGCAGCAGTTCTCCCACAGGAGAGCTGGCCTGGGCCAGCCTGTCCCTTCTGTTGATGGAGCAGCACAGGTGCTTCCCCACCCCACAGAATCTCTTCCACGTCACTTGGGGGAACCCATCAGTGGAGCTGGACAACAGGGTCCCCAAATGTGGGATAGGCCTGCCCTTCCTCCACAACTAGCCCAGCCCCAGCCTCTGGTTCTGCACATTTCTGTCTCAATCAGCTCCTGCCCAGACTCAATGGCTTGACAGAACCAGGAGACCAGCCATGGGGGGCCAAGACATGCACAATCCAGCTGTGCCAGTCCACTCCCTTATCCACACCATCTGACAAAGCCTGCCCCGGAGCCCCATGCCTCCTCATTAAGGAACAACATGAGATGTGAAAAAACATTAATAACTCTACTTGCTTAACTCAGTTGTTTTCAATTCTATGAACCTGGACAGTTCTGCCTTCAATTAGAAACACGTCCTTGCCCAGTCACCTCAGTGATCATTTTCAGTGGATATGTAACATTCAACCCTTCCAAGAAGCATGGTGGCTGATTCACCAAGTCTCCCTGTGCCTTGGTTAAGCTGCTTCCACTTACGAGCTTGTACTTACTTGCATAAGACTTTTTTTTGTTTTTGATTTTTTTGTGGAACGGGGGACTGAACTCAGGCCCCTACGCTTGCCAGGCAAGTGTTTATTCTATTGAGCCATCTCCCTGGCCCCCATAAGATGTTCTTGTGTACATACTCTTTGGCTTCTTTGCCAAGAACAGATTCACAGAGGTGAAAATCCTAAGTCACCACAGGACCAGTGATGGTGACAGCAACTAACACTTGCTAGATACCCTACACCAAGTGCTGTTCCAAGAGCTTCCTAGGTTTTCACTCAGCCCTCACAGAGCCTGTGGTGGGGCACGGCAAGGGGAACCTGAGACAGGAGCTACAATTTTCTTGATTTTTCAGATGAGAAAAACTAAGGTGTAAGGAGACAGGGAACTTGCCCAAGGTTACAATGACAGAAAGCAGCAGGGTGCAATCCTATTCCTGCTTTCCAGGGTTCAGCTGAGGCTATGGAGAGGATTCCATGTGGCAGAGATGGTGATGAGTTACAAACACCACCTCCTCTCAGCCTCGTCACCACCCTGGAGGGTGGGAGGCAGGCAACAGTACTCTTGTCCCTTTACAAGGGAAAAATTGAGGCTCAGAGACAGGTGACGAGGTTGCCCAAATGTCACTGCAAATCATACAGAGCATCATTCAGGAACCAGATCCCTCCCACCAGAAGCCCATGCCCCCATGCAACTGATACCCTGCACGCTAGGCTGGTGGCTCTGCAGTCTTTCCCTGAGAGTGCAATTCAGTGTCACCTGAGTGCCAGCACACTGCCCTCCCAGCCAAAAGGAACAGGCTGCGGGAGCTGTGAGCGAGCATGGCCTGGGCTCTGGTTTCTTCCCATGACTCCTGGCCCATGTTTACACCCTACTCAGGGTTCTTCTCCTGTGGGCTAAGCTTATCTTCTGCTCCTCACTTAGCATTAGGTCCCAAGGGTATCCTTACAAAGAGAAGCTCTGAACCCCGCAGACCAACTTGTGCCGAGGGACCCAGGGACAAAGGGGTCTGCTGCACTCTACCTCCTGCAACCCGGTCCCAGCAATGTCAGCAAACAAGGTACCTACTTGTTATGAGGCAGCCTGGAGCACAGGGTTCTCAGGTCATCTGCAATTAAGGAGAGACGTGATTGAGGAACGACTGGAGTCAAGGAGAACTGTTTGCTGACATGCTTCTTTTCCAGGATGCTAGCAAGTTAGCAACAGTGCCTGCTACTACATATTTCCAACATGCTTTTAGACACTGGGCTTCCCTTTTCTGCAGTTTCTCCTTCAAAAATAGGTCCAAAATAGAAGAAGCCATTTAGGAAAGGGGGCACCGTCACCAACAGTTGGTCAGGTGGTTAGGAAAGCGCCCAAGGGCAGGTCTCTCACCAAGCAGAGGGCCAAGGCACTCCAGCCCTGGAAGCAAGACTAGAAACTCACCACTAGCAGCCTTCGAGTGGGGCCACCTTTGTGATTGGGTCAACAGTGGAAAAGCAAACACCAGCGGATTGATGGCCCCAGGCCACTACCGGGCAGACTCAAATACTGAAATGCAGGAGAATCCCAAAACAGGCAATGGGAACACACGTCGTGAACAGGTGGCAGTTCCATGGAGGTATACATATACAATAGGTGAATTATACACCCTAAGAAAAAAGAACTACAGGAAAGAATCCTCATGAGGAAAGATTATATTCTGCCGATTTTCTAGTTAGAGCCAGAAGAGCCAGGTGATATCTACACATCTCATAGATGGCACATAGGACTGGGATGGGGACAGCAGAGCAAGGGGGTACACTAGGGGATATCCTGGAACCCCACTCTCCTTACAGGAAGAAAATACCAAAGGAATCAAAACCAGTGTCCGTCTAGGAGTCCCTGTTTTCTTTTTGCTTAGGCAGTGCTGTCACCGCTCCCGAGGCCTGCCTGGTGGGGAAGGCACCTACCTCTCGTGCACAGCAGGGCTCCCGAGGCCATGGCCACCTGCAAAGCCTGTGCCAGCCGGTCCAGCGAGAGCTCGATCTCCTGCGAGGCATTGAGGGGGTTCAGTTCATCCGCAAGTCTGTTGATCTCCTCTACCAAAGGGACCATGTGGTCAAACAGGATCAGCCCCAGGCGCCCATACAGATTCTTCTCAGTCAAGTGTAGCTGGAGAGTCATGAGAACCTGCAGAACACTGAGGTGGAGTTTCGAGTACAAGACATGGGAGTCTCTGTCCATCCCCGCTCCTGAGTCCTTTGTGACCTTGTTACTGACGTGGCCATTCGATAAACAGGGCTTCTTCTTCCTTTTATAAGCCAGGGGGGCCTTTACGCACCAGCGGATCAATCCAATGAGTGGGGTGAGCTCTAAAAATCCTATTGGGAGATTGGCTGCAATTGGAGTATTTAAAAAAGTGATGAGAATCAACCGCGGGTCCTCAAAAATCCAACTGACAATCATTTCAAGCAAGTCCAAAGGTGGGATGAGATCATCTGCAAACAAAGAGCATTCAGTCAGAAGTGTTCTTGGTCTTGGGGACAAAAATGAGAAGGGGACAGAGGAGGACAGATCTCTAGCCTTCCTGCCTGGTAAGATCACTACTGCCCAGCCTACTTTCTGTCTTATTTTCTAGGACATCCATCCCATGAAAGCTGAATCACTGCTACATCCCTGGTGCCCTGGTGCACCGGACCCTCTGCTCAAAGCAGAGGGTGAAAAAATACTTGTTAGAGGCACAGGGGCCCGGGGTTTGATCCCCAGGCCTGCCGTGTCATCCCTGCTCCCAGGACGCGCTGAGAGGGCAACTGAGACTGGGTGTGGTGGTACGTGCCTGTAAGCCTGTAATCCCAGCTCTTGGGAGGCTGTAAATAGGTGGATCACTACAAATCCGATCTAGTAGTGAGACCCTGAACACCCTATAGACCCTTTCCTAAAATACAAAAATAAATACATAAAAAATAAACCTTTAGGGCTGGGGAGATGGCTCAGTAGAATAAGCACTTGCCTGGCAAGTGCAAGGGCCTCAATTCAATCTCCAGTTCTGCCAAAAAAAAAAAAAAAAGAAAGAAAGAAAGAAAACAAAACAAAAGAGAAAGGTGAGAAGGATTTTTTAGGAGCCGGGGAGATGGCTCAGTGGAATAAGCTTCCCTGGCAAGCTCAAGGGCCTGAGTTCAATTCCCGGTTCTGGGGGGAAGGGGGGAATACACACACACACACACACACACACACACACACACACACACATTTATTAGGTTAATAATTCCTTAGAATTCCATTAGACTTTGAAAAAAAAGCTGCCAGCATCCGTCAGCCACCAACCTTCCCAGGCCCAAGCCAAGAATCTTGTCTAAGCAACAGCTTGGCCTCCTGTGATCCCTGCAATGTGGCAAGTTCCAGGGCCCAGACAAAGAATAATAATAATGAGGACGAATGCTGACACTGATTCTGAGCTTCACGCGTGCTGGGCACTGGACTCTCCTTTCCACAGACAAATGCATCAAAACCTTATCTAGCTCCATCAGTTATTCCCAAAGGAAGAAGAAACTGAGGTACAGTGATGTTAGGTAATTTCCTAGGACACACTGAAAGTACATGGTGAGCTCAGATCTGACCGGAAGCAGCCTGGCTCTTAGACCACCAGGAAACACTGTCCATCCTGGAGTTGGGATGCCATGTTCTCAGGCTGCCTGTGTCCCCAGCCACCTGTGCAGTGCAGCCCATAGCTTGCAGGAAAGCTGAGGATGACAGCAGTCCTTCTAAGCAAGCATGGAAGAAGAGAGTGTGGGAAGCCAGCACGTGATCAGGCACAGCTTCTGGCTGCTTTCTCCTAAAGTCAGCCTTGCCGTGAGACCATTCCTACTGACAGCTGCTATCAAACACTGCCCTTGCTAATGTAAGGCGGCGGCAGCAGCAGGCAGCAGCACCCATATGTAACCCTCCCTTGGCCACTCCGCATCCAGTCCCTTAATCCTCCCAGATGTTTTTGTCTGGGTAACACCAGGCTCACACCCACAACTCCAGAGTACTCCCAGGGCTGAGCAGAGGCCTCCCTAAAAGCCTGCAGTCAGCCAGCCCTGTGTCCTGGGCACACACTTAAGCACAAGTACTACATGAGTGACTCCTTCACTTAGTGAGTGAGCCCAGAGCTCTCAGTACCACCTGGGCAGGAAGAGACTGCATGGCGAGGAGAGCATCTTCCTTTCGTGACGTGAAGGCACAGACTTCCCAGGTGCTCTCATTCCCATAAGGGTGGCACTAATCACGATTCTGATAATGGTCTCAGGCCTGGCTGAAGGAAGCACTAGCACTGACACGCCAGCTTAGGAGAAAAACACCAAGTTGCAGACACACTCAGTGGTTACCCCCGAAACATTACTTCCTGTTGCACATCTAATTCATCCATTCCCAAAGCCAAGGCCAATTTTTGTCCTGCTGGCCCAAAACAAGTAATGACCTGAAAAGCAACTACAATGCTATGAATGGGGTTTAATTAAATCTTTCCTTTGAGAAAACCAAAGGCAGTATCCAAACACAGTATCCCATTAATAATCATCCTTGGGAAGCCCTGCAGGAGAGATTACAGATAATTCCTCTGTAGCAGGGTGGCACTGCTCCACAAGAACAGGCCCACTCCAGTGGCAAACTGCTTCTAAGGAGAGTATGGAAACTAGTGGGAGAAGGTGGCATGTACTTGTATGACCACACTGTTGCCACACAAGCTTTCTCAAGAGCTAAAATGTGTAGAGCCTGGCATGGTGGCAAACCTCTAACCCCAGCACTCCACAGGCTGAGGCAAAAGGACTGCTGCAAGTTTGAGACCAGCCTGGGCTACAAAGTAAGTTCAAGGCAGACTGAACTGCAGAGTGAGACCCTGACTCAAAGAGACAAAAAAAGGGCTGGGGAAGAGGAGAGCATCTGCCAGGCTAGCACAAGGTCCTGAGTTTTAGCCCCAATACCACCAAAAAAAAAAAAAAAAAAAAAAAGACATGTGGCTGGAGAGATAGTTCAGCAGTCTAAGCAGCTGCTTGGCAAGTGCAAGGACCTGGGTTCGACTCCTGGTACTGGATACTATGCCAGCCCAGAGCCGAGCCAGCCAGTGAAACTGGGCATGGTGGCATATGCCTGTAATCCCAGCACTGGGGAGGCTGAGACAGGAGTTCAAGCTGCATGGTGACCCTGTATCAAACAAATAAATAAAAGATTAAAAAAAAAAAAAAAGCTAAAGTGTAAAAGCAAGAAAAAAAGGTTACAGAGCAAAGGAAGTTCAAATACTTTCAGGGGACTGGTAGAGGCAGAAAATGGAGACAGAAATGTCATTGCAGGCCCTCACATCATTGGAAGAATTAAATTATTTGTCAGTGTTCTGGTCAGCAAGAGTAGAAGGCAAAATAGGAGTAACCCGAAATACAAACAAAACTTGGGCTTTGAGCCAGACTCTGTAAACAAAACTGCTCATCACAGCTGGGCATGGTGGTACACTCCTATAATCCCAGCACCTGGGGAGGCTGAGGCAGAAGGGTCACAAATTGCCCAGCCTAGCAACTCAGTGACAGGGAAAAACCCTGTCTTAAAGTAAAATAACATTTATTTAAGAAGGGCTAGGGATATAGCTCAGTGTGCATGTAATTTCAATCTAGATGAAAAGTATATGAGCGTTTACTGTACTATACTCGTAATTTTTCTGGATTTTTCAAAACAAAATGTGGGAGATCAAAAGTAAGTGGTATTTCTGGAAAGGTGGTCACACTTCACCAGATTCCAACTTGGCTTTTTATGCCATTTCCATCATTCCAACTCAAGTAGTTGAGGACACTACGAACATTTCCTGTGAAGCAAACTGTACCGGTCCAGCTGCCCACATTGATCCTTAGGCCCAAAATAAAGAAGCACATTTCTGAGACAAAAACACCAAAGCATTCACTGGGAAATAAAACCAGCCATCATTTGAAGCTTCTTTGGTGGTTATGACATGTTTATCTTTACCTGCTGACAGGTCATAGAGAGCAGTGACAGACGTTATGAACTGGCAGCAGAACCGAGGGCTGGCGCTGAATATCTGCTTCAGTGTCTGAACGGAGCCTGGTACCAAACAGCAGTAGTCATCCACCAAGGCCCTGGCGAGCCGCACACAGTAGACCACAGGCGTCCGCTGGAAAGAATCCACAGGCCACATAACTACAGGTGTTAGGAGCTAGCAGGTAGCAACTACGTACAAACCATAAGGACCACCAGAACTGGTAGAGCCACTTCCCAGAATGGAGACAGATGTTAGCAGCTTCCTTTCAAGCAGGAGCCAGCAATCTAAAGTCCACTGACCAAATCCACTCCATCTCCTGCCTCTGTGAATAGTTTCATGGAGACATACATAATGTGCTCACTTAAGCAAGCTTTTCTACTGTTTAAAGCTGCTCTTGCATTGCAAGGGCAGAGATCAGTAGTTACAATAGAGACACCGTGACTTGCAAAGACTACAGTAATTGCGTAAAGGCTCTGCAAACCCTGGCTTTGAAGTTTACTTAGGAAAGATGATTTCTGACTTCAGATGAGAAAATGACAACTTCTGTAACCCAACAGCATTTCAGGTGAAACTCTAACAGGTAAAAATTAATAGCTGCTCCCACTTCAAAAAGATTTAGGAGTCAGTGAATGATCAAATAAGAAAGATGTTTGTGTAGAGCAGCATTTCCAAGCTCTTACAATGCTATTCTCTCTAATAGTTCCTGTAATACCTTTGAATCCCACATCCTCACCCTCCCCTGCCTTTTTCTCTTCCCATGTATGTGCCTAGCAGCCACTCTGGCTACACTCAGCAGCTGCTAAGGAAGCTGTAGCTCCAGGACACAAACTTTGGTTGTACCTTTTTTTGTTGCCAGTTTGTCATCTGTCCTACCATAGCACAAATCCTAGTGGGCCCCAGCAGAGAGAGGAACAGCCCTCATGCTTAACAGTGGTCTATTTGTTTGTGAGACTCAAAATCAGCCTTGTCTCAGGGCACAGTCACAGAATTACTTATCACGTGTGCTCATAGAGTATATTACTGTGGCCACAAAGATCTCACCTTTGTCAAGTGGATTAAAAAAAAATATATAATGCTCTGTATATAGAAGTGGGACTGGAATACAGGTGTCAGTCCACAGTGCAGCAATAACAAAGGACATAAAGTAGTACATATGGAAAAGACCTCTCCAGAAATCCAGTTAAATGAAAATTTCTAAGTAAACTCATCTTCAGAGACTCCAGGAAGGAAGGCTATTGCACAGCAGTACCTGGAGCCAAGAGGCTGCACATTCCAAAACTGGGATTCGACATACAGCCACAGCCATGGAGACCAGCTTTCCCAACAAGCTCATCCTGCTGTCATCAGCTTTGTTCCCCTGAGGGCTGAAAAGCGAGGAGAAAATAATCTGCCTCACGGAGTCCTTGGTTTGCTCCTGGAAATAATTGCACATGATTTCAAGAAGCTGAAGCTCCTGAAGTGAATTCAGTCTCTGCAAAACAAACCCGGGAAAAAGCTGTCAGAAATGTGGCTTTTGCGTGCTGGTTAGTTCACGCAGTAAGAAGGTAGGGCACGCATTATGTTCCCCAAGGCGCTTTTCAGAAACCCAGGTCCCAGCAAAATGCTGAGGCTAACCTCAGGAAAAAGTCAGACTTCTCATTACGTATTGTCCTGGAGGAGTCATGATAACCCACACAGTCTAGGACTTTAGATAACAGGCCATTAATGAGGTAAGCAGACAGCCCCCGAAGTCCTTCCTGGAACACCGCTGGGTCGCAGCTGTCACTACCTGCAAGCCAGGCACTCCGCTGGGGAATGCCGCAGGACTGCAGGGCAGGGGACTGGGGGAACTGCTGCAGGAGCAAGGCCCAGGGCGAGAACCGAGGGGCTGGGCGAGCCCCTGTCACCCCGGGAAGGGCACGCCGGGACAGGCACCTTGGGCTGCGCGCCGCGCTCCTTGGGAACCTGGAACACGAACTCCTCCAGTAGCTCCACGGGTCCCTTGTCCACGATGGGCAGCGGCCCGCTCTGCAGCTGGCTGCTGAAGTAGATGTCCAGATGGTACAGCACCTCTTTGGCGGCGCTCAGCGCATCGCGGCGCAGCAGCGAGTGGCGGATGTCGCTCATGGTGCCCAGGTGCCCCGCGCGCCCCACTTCCGCCCGGGCGCCGGGGACGCGCCGCCGCCGGTGGAGACAAAGAGGCGCGGTCCGGCTTCCGTGCTGACTTGGGCTGGGCCGCGGCGCCCGCCTGCCCACCCGCTACCTGCCGCTGGCCCGCTCAGGGGGCCATCGCCGCTGCCACCGGCCAGCGGGTACCCGCGGTCCGACAGCGGCGCCAACCAGAGCTGCTAGAGCCGACGCCGCACAGCTGAACGGCGGCAGAACGGCAGAGCGAAGACGGCGGCCCGCAGGGGCCAAGCGCAGGCTGTGGCCGTGCTCTCAGGAGTGCGCCCCCTAGCGGCGGCGCGCTGGACAGGTAGGCCCCGCCCCAGGACCGGATCGAGCTGCCCTCCCAGCCGCGCCCTCCATTGAGCGCCGGAAGAGGCTTTCCCCGGCTTGCAGACCTGCTAAGAGCGGCGTTCAAAGCCTCCGCATTTGGGAGGGTTGGGTTCTTGGGTTGCCTCCCAGCCTAGGCTATTCATCTTAAAACTCCATGTGCTCTGAACCCACAGGTTTCTTGGACTGATGGTGCCTGGAAAGGGCCTGCCCCGCTGCCCACTCTGTCTGCAGGGTTTCTGTTTCCCAGTCCTGGGCAGAGGCCTGGCTTCGTTGGCTGCGGGTTCCTTGGCCTAGACTGAGATGGTCTGGGGGAAACTTGGTAGCCTTCAAGGTCTGGTCCACCTTGCTTCCTGCTCCTGAAAGCCCTCCTAATGCCCGTCAGCACTTCATAAGCCTCTTTTCTAGCATTCCCCTCTCTCCACTGAACTAGCAGTTTAATTTTGGAATTGTTAAACAAGGCAGAAAAGACATGCATATGACCAGGAGGGGGCAGTGGAGGGCAAGGCAGGTGACACAAGTACAGCAAGAGCCTGCAGTAAAGGCCCAGGATGGCACAAAGGCGCGCCTCCGTGAGGACGTGGTAATGGCTAGGAAAATCCCCTGGGAGACAGGGATAGGCCAAGGAAGGGCATTAAAAGGGTGCAGCCAGGCATAGCCCAAAGCGTTGAGTCACAGATCCTGCTGCACGTCAGGGGACATGGCTGTACAGCCCGTCTTTGTCCAGGTACCCATTTAAGAGTGAGATCACGGTCTCAGTGTGACCTAGAACCTTGGACAAGTGACCTCCCGCACAGCCCCCGCAAGTCCTCAATGGTGCTCGATTCCAACAGGATAAGCAAATAGATCTGACACAGCAACTGGCAAAAATTAATCACTCAGTAAACCTTAGCTTTTCCTTTCCTTTCTTCCTCACTTGAAAGCAGGTATATACACAGCAGAAACCAAAAGTCAGTTTATGAACACACAGTAGAAATTAAATAATGCCTAGAAGTATCCATATGTATAAATAAATATTATATTTGAAAGACAGTGACACTCTTTCCATTTATTTCCTCTTTCTTTCGTAACATGGGCCTGCAAGTAGAAAGATCTCTTGGAGGTTGCTCCAAAGTCCATGGGAGTAAATGTTCTGGTAACTTTGGGATTCAGCTGATGAGCGCCTGGCCACCAGGGGGCAGTGCTGATACCAGGCCCAGTCTCCTTTGAACCATTCGTTGGTGGTCTGATTGGTGGCAGCCAGGTACACAGCAAAGCACAGGTAGCCCCCCAGGAGGAGGCTCAGCACCATAACAAAGCCCAGCAAGAAGACAATCCTTGGGAAGGTCAGGAACAGGTACTGGGAGAAAAGAAAATGTGTGTTAGGAACTGGAGAGCGCCAGCCCTGACCCAGTTTGCAGACACAGCAGAGCCACTCCCTTAGCCACCCATCTGCATCCAAGCCTGGCACAGTAAACATATATGAGAACCATAATCAACACTGACCAATAGCCTCAGGATTATCTGTGTGTGTGAGCGCTTACTCTGGGATAAATGAAGTGTCCCTCTAGGGGAGGCTGCTCAGGAAACGGGACTGTACCAGTTATCTACTTGCAAAATAGATTTAGCACAGATCTGAGTTCATGTATCAAAATAAAATTGAGATAGGCAGGAGAAATCAGTGTCTCTCCTAAAACCATCCAACCACAAAAATACATGCAGAAGGATATTCACTGGCAGTGACTCTTAACATCCCCTCTTCCTCAAAGAAAGGAGTTAAGGAACAATAAGAAATTATACATAAGGAACAATAAACCCTGGGCTAGTCACACTGTGGGTTAATAAGAAGTCACTGTGAAATGACTGCTCTGGAAAACAGTACGGGAGTCCTTTTCAGAACTTAAAATAGACGTTTATGACCCAAGAATTATACTAAGGACTCACTTTCACAAAGATCTTGTATACAAATGTTTGTGGCAACTTTGTTAATAGCCCAAAACGACACTACTCAAATAACCCTCAGGAGGCAGATGGTTAAACTGGTACACCCAAAGCATGGAATCCTTGTACAGCAACAAAAAGGATTAAATCACTGATATCACCAATTTAGACAGGTTTCAAGGGAATTATGCTGAGTACAAAAAGCCAGTCATAAAAGCCTATGTATTGCCTCTTGTTTATGAAATAAAATTACAGAGAAAAGAAATAGGCTAATTGTGGCCAGGTGTTAGGGGTGGAGAAGAAATGGATGTGGCTACAAAATGATAGTAGAAAGGAATCGAGGTTTTAGCAACTTGATGGTACTGGTGGTTCCACGAGGCTACTCCTGGGGCAAGACCACACAGAACTGCATTCATGAGCATGTGTGCATGTATGATCAGTAAACTCAGCTCTATGGGCTGTGCCAATGACAAGGTACTGTGGTTATACAGGACAATGGCATGGGAGAAAGGGGTATTGGGAGTGGATGGGACTTCCTGCATGACTTTTTGAAACATGCTTTAAATCCATGTCAAAGAGTTAAAAAAAAAAAAAAAAACATATAAGGGCTTAAGGTAGCACATACCTATAATTCTAGCACTTGGGAGGTTGAGGCAGGAGGAACATAAGTTAGAAGCCAATCAGAACTACATGGCAAGACCCTATCTCAAATTCTAAAACAAGAAAAAAAAATTTTTTTTTAAAAAACCGAAAGGAGGGGCTGGGGAGATGGCTCAGTGGAATAAGCACTTCCCTGGCAAGCACAAGGGCCTGAGTTCAATCCCTGGTTCTGAAAAAAAAAAAAAAAAAAGATACTAACTTTAAAACTACATGAGCCCATATTGGACATGGAGGCACATCCCTGTGATCCAAATACTAAGAGGCTGAGTAGGAGGATTGCAAGCTGAAACCCAGATACTGGCAAGGAAAGAAAGGAGAGAAGGAGGGTGGGAGAAAGAGGGCAAGGGAGGGGAGGGGAGGAGAAAGAGAGGGAAGGAGAGGAAGGAGGGAGGAAGGGAAGGAAGAAGGAAGCCAAACATAGTTCAGTGTTCAGGTTTAATCCTCAGTGCTGAAGAAACAAAATAATGAAGTATATATTCATGTTGCAATGACTAAAATTTGATTTCTTCTAAGTCTTTTTTTTAAAAATGTATTTAGTACAATGTCTACAAGGTCTCACTACATAGATTGGACTCATAGTGATCCTCTTGTTTTCAGCCTCCCAAGCGCTGGGATTATAGGCACATACCACCACGCCCAGTCTCAATCACCTGTCTCAGTGCAGGGGGCAGGGAGAGTATGGCACACCAGGGATAAAACCCTGTTTCCTGGGCTCTGCTTAAGCAGGCGCTTTAGTCTGCTGAGCTATCTGGCCAGCCCTTTTAAGTCCTTTAAAAGATAATGCCTCACTATGTACTTCAGACTGGCCGTGGACCCACTATATGACTCAGGCTGGCCTTGAACTCACAGCAATCCTGCCTCAACTTCCTCGGAGCTCAGATGATAGGCATACACCAACATGCCCATGAAATACGAAAACAATATTTTACAAAAAAGCCAGTCCAAAAAGTCAGAGGTAACATGGTTCCATTTATATAAAATGTCCAAAAAGCACATTCATAAAGACAAAAAGTAAACTGGGGAGATAGCTCAGTGGTCTTAAGTGCCTGCCTGGCAAATTTGGTACTGCATGCCACACTGGCCCCAGAACCCTGGGAACACTGTGCCGCCAGAAACTGGGTGTGGTGGCACATGCCCATAATCCCAGTGCTGGGGATGCTGAGACAGGAGGATCACTATGAGTCTGAACTTTGTAATGAGACCCTGTATCAAAAAAAAAATAATAATAATAATTAAGAAAAATAAATAAATTTTAAAAAGACAGTAAAATGCTTATCTCTACTTTTATAAAATTATTTTCCTTCATATTCTATAAGGACTTAAAGTTCAACATATCAATACTTGATGGAAAATACCTGTTCCATGATATGCCAAAATGTCTGATATTTAGACAGATACAGTAAACCAAACTGCATATATTGCAGGTTAATAATTAGCTTCTCTTGTGGAGGGTTAACAACCTAAGTTAGCAGTTCAAAATTGGAGAAAAGGAAGAGCTGCAAGGTCGGCCAACATTTTGGCCCTAGCCTTTCAAGGTCAGTGAAGACTCGGGACATAGGAGAACCTGTACTGTAACAACATGTAACTTAGTTGTGCTCCAAATTTTCTAATCAAGAAGATTATGGAGCCACAGAGGAATGTGATCGATGATGTATAGTGTGCCTGGGGAGAGTCACATGGAGAGAAAAAACATTTTCTCAGGCTTTCACAGAGAGCAAATTGGTCAAGCAATGGCTGTGACTCATCCTCATGGCTGACACTGACAAAGGATCTACAAAGTACGGTACAAGGCTACAGGATAAATCCTGAGGGTACTTGACTGACCTTATTAGATACAAAAGTTATATTTCTTGCTATATAGGTCTTGCTTTATCTTGGTCTTAACGATCCAGCAGAAAAGTATAAAAACAAGGTATATAAAGTAAAGCCATATTAATATGATGAACTACAAAAGGCTCAAGTCAATAACTTCTGAGGATAACCCACTACTATTATAGACTGCTAGACAGTGTTAGGTTGTTTAGTTGAATTCAAAAACTTATAGTATTTAGATGTCAATAGAATATTCACATCTGACAGACAATTTTAAAAAAAGATACAAAGGAAAGATCATTTTGTATTTATATATACAAAATAATTAGGATAAATTTACAGCTACTTTCTCTTAATTCAATGAGAAGAAAGAGGTGTACTAACAGTGTTTGCACAGAATATCCTGTCTGCTTCTTGTACTATGGATAACCACTAAGAAGATAACAATGTACAATGTATTGATTATCAAAACTGTCCTATTAATCAGCTGTGAAACTGTCTCATTCATATTTATTTCTCAATAAAAAAAAATACAAAATAAAAAGACAGTAAGTAAGACTAATGATGCCAGGATCCATGGGGACAAGAAATAGGAGTGTTTCTTGGGGCTAATGAAACATTCAGAAATGAAACAGTGGTGAAAGGAGCATGCCTACTCAAACCACGGAGTTATACACATTTAAAGGGTGTGCTGGCTGGGCATGGTGCCGCACACCTATAATCCCAGCACTTGGGAGGCTAAGGCAGGAGAATCACTGTGAGTTCAAGTCCAGCCTAAACTACGTAGCAAGACCCTGTCTCAATAAACAAATGAACGAACAAATAAATAAATGGTGTATTTTGTAGAATGTGAATTTAACATCAACTTTTAAAAAAGGAATAGCTTCACTTTTTACTAGGAAAATACAACTTTCTCAACTTGAATTCAGAAATGTACTGCCTACTGCATAATCATCACCTGAATGAGAAAGACTGTGTCCATAACCTGGAACTGTCCGAAGTCATCAATGTACATTTTCTGGTACAGATCTGACACCATCACCAAGCGGACCAGAAATGCTGCGCTCAGGACGGCCATGGTAGCTGCTGACGCGCTCAGTGTCAGGAGGTAGATGAGGAAGTATCTGGTGTTCCAGGCCCCAATGCAGTTGTTTACCCAAACACAGTGATGGTCAAAACGGTGCACACAGTGGTTACATACACCTGCATAGAAGTGAAGGAGTCACTTGACAACACAATGACACTCTGAACACCTACTGAGATTTTTACAAATTAAACATTGGCAGTATAGGTGAGAGGTAGCAGGGGAGGTGGACTGTTGCCACCTGGCTTTTAGAATTGCACTGTCTAAAACAGTAGCCACTAGCCATATCTCTGGGTATTGAACATTGAAATATGGCTACAAGGAAAATCTGAAAGAATATTTTATGGATATTGACAAATACACAGTTTTTCGATTTATCCAAATCTTTTTTTTTTTTTTTTTTTTTTTTTTGTGGAACCGGGGATTGAACTCAGACCCTTGCACTTGTCAGCGAGGCACTTATTCCACTGAGCCATCTCCCCAGCCCCAATTTATCCAAATCTTTTCTCAAATAATGTACATAATACAGAGTGACTTAAGAGTTGTGAATTTATTTAACATGGACACACATAGCTCCACAACTAGTGGTTTTGACTAGGCATAGTGGTGTATGCCTGTAATCCCAGTACTCCTGAGGTTGAGACAGAAGGAGCTACCATGAGCTGATCTACAAAATGAGTTTAAGGGCAGAGCCTGAAGCACATAGTGAAAACCGGTCCCATAAAACAAACCAAAACAAACAAACAAATCTGATGGTTTTGCTTAAAGTCAAGTCAGTTTTGAAAAAGATATATCATTATATCAACATAGATGTGTATAATCAAAGAAAATGTTGTGGTACTTGATTCATTTATTAGAGAATTTAAGAATGTTTGGATATAGCCTGGGTATGTGAATGTACTCTTTTCCAACTGTGAATTTTATAATCTCTAAATATAGATTAGGTACTTCCAATGAGAACTTAGTATCCAAATTGAGATGTACTGTAAAAGTAGAATACATACCAGATTTCAAAGATTTAATGGGATAAACAGAACATAAATTATTTGTACTTTTTTGTCTTCTTTGATGCAGGGTTTCACTATGTAGTTCAGACTGGCCTTGAACTCACTTTGTAGCCCATGCTAGCCTTAAACTCAAGGTTATCCTCCTATCTCTGCTTCCCAAGTGCTGGAATTACAGGTGTGCACCATGGCCGGTGCTATAAGCTATCCTATGATACCTTTATACTGATTGCACGTGAAAATGATACTCTAGAGCTAGGCATGGTGGTACATGACTGTAATACAGCTATTTGGGAGGCTGAACAGGGCTAGGGCAAGTTTGAGCCCAGCCTGGGCAATTCAATGAGATCCTGTTATGGGCCAGTCAGATAGCTCAGCAGACTGAAGCACCTGGCCAGATAGCTCAGTGACTGATGTTCAATCCCCAGTGTGCCATGCTGGCCCTGCCCCCAATGCACAGAGATGGAGACTGTAATCCCAGCACTTGAGAGGCTAAAAATAGGATCACTAAGAGTCCGATCTGTGTAGTGAGACCCTGTACTAAAATACAAAAAATAAAACAAGACCAAAAAAAACCTTTCAATGAGATCCTGTTTCAAAAATGAAAAATGCTAGGGATGTAGCTCAATGGTAGAGTGTTTGCCTAGGAGGCATGAGGCCTGAGTTCAATCCCTAGCACTACAAGAGTAGAATAAAAGATGGTTTAAGTATGTTGGTCTCAATAAAATATATGATTAAAATTAAGTTAACTTCCTTTAGCAATGTAGTGACTAGAAAATTTTACACCACACGTGTGTAACTGTAGAATCATGGGTATTCTGCAGAAAACTGAGCCTGAGCAGACACAGCTGCCCACAGAAACATCTCTTGGGGAACACACCCTGCCATGTGGCAGAGGAAGAGCTCAGGGTTGGCCACTATACAAAACACACAACCTTCCTGTCAGTCCTCTAAAAGAAACCACTACATGGCCTCTCACAAGTGTGGTCACCCCATGGCTGGGGATCAAATGCCTCTGCTTTGAGATTCACGAAACACTCCCCCCTACAGGAAAGCCCACATCGACACTAGGCAGGGTGCTGCTGCTGCCACGACAGCCATACTTACTGCAGTGCTTGGATCGAGCTGGCTTCTTTAAACCACAAGTAGAGCAACTCATGTTCTTTGCAAACATTACATCATCAAACTCATAAACTTGAAGAAATAATAATTCATTTGTTTTTGTTATAGTGCCTGAAAAAGGACAAATATCAGCTTAAGCAATATGACAGACTGGATGTTCATGAAATCTGACCCAAAACAACACAACTAAAACTACTATATTTAATGTTGGCAATTCATTTTTACAACTGCTTTAGTGAGACATAATCTATAAACTCAATTCAAAGGTTTTTAGCATTTGCAGAGTCATGAAGACCTCATCAGAATTAATTTTAAAACATCATCATGGCTTCAAAAAGAAACCTACTAGCACTAGCAGTCATTCTCTGTATCTCTCTAGTGCTTCCAAGCCCTGGAATCAATTTACTTTATGCCTCTATGAATTTGCCTTTTCCGGACATCTCACATAAATGGAATCACATAATTTGTAGCTTTTGTGTCTGGTTTCTTTTACTCAGCAAGTGCCACAGTCAAAACAAACTGCACCAAGGTGTAACAGTCAAGATCCCTGAAATTCAACACAAGAACAGAATATTAAAAGCTGTTAAAGAAATAAATCACCTGTAAACAAAAGCCTATCAGAATCACAGCATACTCCTCAATATAAACCCTCAAATCAAAAAGAACTTGGAGTGAAATATTTCAAGCCCTAGAAGAAAACAACTCTGGGCCAGGGAGATAGCTCATGGGTCAAAGTGCCTCCCTAATAAGTGTAAGGACCCAGGTTCAATCCCCCAGATCACAAGCTGTGCTGGCCCTGAAACTGGGCATGGTGGCACATACCATTAATTCCAGCACTGAGGAAACTAAGATGGGAGGATCAAGAGTCCAAGCTGCTTAGGGAGACCCTATACCAAATAAATAGATTTAAAGAAACAAAACAAAAAAAGTAACATGACAAGGATAAGTCAATACCTGTCAGTTACAACCATCAATGTTAATGGTCTCAATTCACTAATTAAAAGAAACACACTGGCAGAATGGATAAAGAGGCAAGATCCAACAATATGCTGCATATAAGAAACACATTTATTTTTATTCTTTTTTTGGTACTGGGGATCAAATTCAGGATCTTGTGCTTGTCAGGCAGGAACTTATGCCACTGAGCTATCTCCCCAGCACATTTAATGCAAAGAAAAATTCGTAGACTGAAAGCCAAAACATGGCAAACAATATTCCATGTGACAAGAACTCAGAGAAAAGCAGGGGTAGTTATTTCATTTGAAGACAAAGTGGATTTCAAGCCAAGACCCACTGAGAGAGACAAAAGATATTACTACATTCTTGTAAAGGGAACAATCCAAAAGGAAGCAAGAACAATCATAAATATATGCCCCATATAGCAGTGCACCTAACTATATAAAATAAATATTAATGGACATGAAAGATCAAATAAGCACGATACAATTGTAATGGGGAAATTCAATATCCCACTGTCACAAACAGACAGATTAACTAGCCAGAAAATCAACAATGAAATATTAGAACCAAACTTTTGAACAAATGGACTTAGTAGATATCTATAGTGTTCCACTCTACAACATTAGAATACACATTCTCAGCTGTATGTGAGACGTTCTCCAAAACAGACTAGATACTAGCTCACAGAATGTGCTTCAGTAAATGTAAAGGAATTTTTTTTTTTCCGGTACTGAGGATTGAACTCAGGGCCTTGCTCTTGCCAGGTACGTGCTTATTCTACTTAGCTATCTCCCCGGCCCCAATGTAAAGGAATTGAAATTACACAATATGTATTATCATATCATAGTACAAAGAAATTGGAAATCCATGGCAAAAGAGGACTGGCGAGATAGCTCAGTGGTCTAAAGCGTCTGCTTAGGCAAGTGCAGGGACCACAGTTCAATCCCCAGCATGTGGTGTTGTGCTAGCCCCACCCCCAAGGTAGGCTGAGCCAGCCACAATAAATAAATAAATAAAATGGCCAAAAAACTACAAGAACTTCATAAAACATGAAAATTAAATAATACCCTGCTGAACAACCAATGGGTCACAGATGAAATTAAGACATTCTACAATTAAACAATAATGTAATACAACATACCAGAATTTACAGAACACAATGAAAGGGGTCCTATTAGGGAAATTTATAGTGGTGAACTCCTATATGAAGAAAACAAAGCAAGCTCAAATAAACAAGCTAATGTTGAACCACAAGCTTCTGGAAAAAGAAGAACAACTCAAACCCAAATTTCATATAAGAGATAAAATTTTAGAAATCAGAGCAAAAATTAATGCAATGGAGAGTAAGAAAACAACAAAGAATCAATGAATTGAAGAGCTGGTTTTTTATAGTTTAAATAAAATTGATAAAACCTTAGCCAACTTGATCAAAAAAAGGACAGAAAAACTCACATGCAATTAGGAATGGAAAGGGTGAAATCACAACAGATCTTGCAGAAATCCAGGGAAGCATTAATTCCTGTCTCAAGGACCTATATTCTCATAAGATGGAAAACACAGGGAAAAAATGGACAGATTTCTAGATACTTATTAATTACCAAAGCTGACTCAAAAAGATATAAAAATTCTACATAAACAATTATTAATCAATGAAACTGAAAATATAATTAAAAACCTACCAACAAAGAAAGACCCAGACTCTACCAGATCTATAGCTGAATTCTACAAGAAAGTTAGAGAAGACCCAATGTTGCTATTTCTCAAACTCATGAAATTGAAAGGGAAGCAATATTCTCAAATTCATTACTGGAAGCACGTATTATCCTAATACCAAAATCAGAGAAAGATCCAATCAAAAAAGAGAACTACAGGTCAATTTCCCCAATGAATATAAATGTACAGTTTCTCAATAAGATATTGGCCAACAGAATGCAGCAAGTCATCAAGATTATATACCATGACCAAGCAGGATTCATCCCATGGATGCAGTGATGGTTCAACAGATGCAAATCAATAAATGTAATACACCACATTAATAGAACCAAGGACAAAAACCACATGATCATCTCAATAGATGCACAGTGCTCGCTTTGGCAGCACATATACTCATTAGATGCAGAAAAACCTTAAAAAGTCCAGCACCCATTCATGATTTAAAAAGAAAAATATTACAGAAAACTGAAACAGATGGTCTTTATCTCAATCTGATAAAAGCCATCTATGAAAAACCAACAGCCAGCATCATACTAAATGGACAAAAACTGAAAGCTTTCACACTAAAATCAGGAACAGGACAAAGATGTCCACAGTCACCACTCCTATTTAATGTAGCTCTGGAAACATTAGCCAGAGCAATTAAATAAGAGAAAGAAATAAAAGGTATAAGGACTGGAAAAGAAATAGGTAACTATCATTATTCACAGATGACATGATACTCTACATAGAAGACCTCCAAAACTCCACCAAAAGATTTCTAGATTTAATAACCAAATTCAGTAGCACAACTGGATATAAGGTCAACACTCAAAAAGCAATAGCCAGACCAGCATGGTGGCACCCACCTGTAATCCCAGCACTCTAGAGGCAGAGACAGGAGGACTGTTGCAAGTTTGAGACCAGCCTAGACTACAAAGTGAGTTAAGGTCAGTCTGAACTGAATAAAGAGACTATCTCAAAAAGACAAAAAAGGAAAAAACTCAATAGCCTTCCTGTACACTAATAACAAACTCATTGAGACAGAAATTAGGGAAACACCTTCTACAACAGCATCCAAAAAGAAAAAAAATCTAGGAATTAATCTAAGGAAGGAACAAAAGACCTCTACATAGAAAACTATAGTATTCTCAAAAAGGAGATTGAAAGGATGTCGGAAAATGAAAAGGGGACCAGCCAGATAGCTCAGTAGATTAAAACACCTGCATGGGCAGGTGCAGGGGCCAGGGTTTGATCCCCAGCCTTCCATGCCAGCCCCACCCCCGGGGCACAATGAGACAGCAAATGCCACTGAGCGTGGTGGCACACCCCTGTAATTCCAGTGCTTGGGAGGTTGAAAATAGGAGGATCACCCCAAGTCCAATCTGTATAGTAAGACCCTGTAGGCCCTATTCTAAATAAATTTAAAAAAAAAAAAAAAAGTGAAAGGTATCCCTTGATCTTTATTTATTTACCTTTTTTTGGCAGAACTGGGAATTGAACTCAGGCCTTTGTGCTTGCCAGGGAGGTGCTTATTCTACTGAGCTATCTCCCCCGCCCCTTATCCCTTGATCTTGAGTAACAAGAACCAATATAGTGAAAATGGCCATACTTCCAAAACTGTTATACAGACTAAATGCAATCCCAACCTTTTACCAGCAAGTTTTCATGGTTCATCCAAGCATAGCAAAAATCTATACTTCACTCTTGTTATGTTTTATTCTATTTTGTATACTAAAGGTGGAACCCAGAGCCTTCCACATGTTAGGCAAGTGCTCTAACATTGAGCTACACCCAGACACTATTGTTTTTATGACTAATAGTCTACTAAATAGGTTTACCATATTCTAATTATTCATGTATCTGTTGATGAATAGTACTTTAAGGACAGAAAAGTTTAAATGTATGAAACAACAACAAAAAAAGCTCAAGGACATGCCAATCAAAAGCAAAACAGAAAAAAGAAAAAACAGTACAATAAAGGTAGTACCAGACAAAAGAAACTCTGGGGCAAACAGCCTTAGTTGTGATGAAGAGGCTCACTATACTGTGAAAAGACTGAATTCATCAGGAAAAGATTATACTAACCCTAAACTTGAGTGTATCTAATAAGAATATACATATACACACAATAGCTTCAAAATATAGAAAGCAAAAATTGACAAAATGAAGAAGTATGAAACTCATCATCAGAATGAGATAATTTTTTTTTTTTATTTTTTAAAAGGCTTTTGTGTGTGTGTGTGTAGGGTCTTACTATGCAGCTCAGACTCGTAGTGATCATCCTGATTTCTGCCTCCCTAGTGCTGGGATTAGGACAGGGCCAGAGCAGCATTCAGTGCCCGGGATTGAACTCTGGCCCCTGTGCTTACCTAAGCAAGCACTTAGTCCATTGAGCTACACTGCCAGCCCTTGAGCTATACCACCAGCCCTACCACTCTCAGTAACTGTTTTAATAAAAAAGTTAATATGGTTATAAAATATTTGAACAAATTTATAAACAATATAAAAGACTTTTTATTCTTGGTACTCAAGAATTAAAAATACTAACTTTTTTTTTCTTCTTGGAAAATTGAAACCAGGAAATTGAACTCAGGACCTTGTGCTTGCCAGGTAGGCACTGTGCTGCTGAGCTATATCCCCAGCCACAAACTCATCAAGGACATGGATCACTTAAAAAAATTGACCACATGTCCAAGTGTAATGCAAGTATCAAAAAAACAGGTTTTTTCAATAATGAGGATTGAACTCAGGGCCTCAACCATGCTAAGCAAGTATCCTACCACTGAGTTCCTGTACCAGCCCCCCTCCTTCCCCTCATCAAATGTAAAAAAAGAAAAAATTCACACAAGCTTTCAAATAAATTTCTCATGACCAGGCTTGGTGGTGCATACCTGCAATCCCAGCACTCAGGAGACTGAGGCAAGAGGATCATTCCAAGTTCAAGATTGCCTAAGCTATAAAGTGAGCTTAAGGCCAACCCGAACTGCACAGCAAGACCTTGTCTCAAAAAGATCAAAAATAAACAGCTAAGTAAAAATTTAAAAAAAAAAATTCTTCAGGCTGGCCTTGAATTCCCAGTCTCTCACTTCAGCCTCCTGAGTAACTATGATTAGCAATATCTGATGCCTGCGTGCGCGCGCGCGCACACACACACACACACACACACACACACAATTTTTTTTTTCTTTTTTTAAGACAGGGTCTTGCTATGTAGCACTTCAAGCTGGCCTTGAGCTCACTTTGTAGCCCAGGCTGGTCTCAAACTCAAAACAATCCTCCTGCCTCAGCCTCCTGAGTGCTGGGATTATAGGCATGTGCCACAATGGCTAGAAAAAAATCAAAACAATTTCAGATTTATCTAATTAGCTCAGGCTGGCTTTGAACTCACTATATAGCCCAAGCATCAAAAAGATAAACAAAAACACAAAGAGCACACTGGAAAATGTTAGAACAGTTCTAAATAACCCACTGGTCAAAGACAATAAAATAAATAAGAAAACATAAAAGTTTTGCAATCTTTTTAAACTATTTGTTTGCTACACAATCAATAAGACAGTTGAGAAGTCCCCAATCTGTTATGATAAGCGCCTCAACTTACCAGGATTGGTAAAACAAGTTAGGGTGAAGAAAACTAAGTTTATCATCAGCAACAAATAGGGCAGAAGAAGGTAACACAATGAGAACTCCAGCTCTTGACAGTAGCCAAATATTTCCCAGGTATACTCAATATAAACCAGCCCTTGCAAGACCAGGTGCAGGATAATGAAAGTGCAGTTGCTGAAAGGAAAGAAGTGTGTGGTTTATTCACAGGGCTGCTCCATAAAAAAAATCATACAAAGCTAAGAAATATTACAGGGGCAACCACTTTTCAGAATTAAGTAAGAAACCAGGTGAAGGGGCCTGTCCCTTAGCTCAGTTTTTTAAGTGGCTGCTTCCATAAAGCAGTCAGGCTCAGGTTGCTGTGGTTCGATCCCCAGAACTCAAGCCAGCCAAACCTGCCTTGAAGGCATTCGGAGCAAAAGAAAAAATCCTTCTGCCATTTTTAAATGTTTTTTCATCATATTCTGTAGGGACTTACTATGCCTAAGATGTTTGATATTCAGACAGACAGTGAGGTTAAGCTTAACAGCCTAGGTTGTATGGTAATAACAAACTTCTCTTCTGGAGGGTTAACAATCTAAGTTTGCAGACCAAAATTAGAGAAAAAGGAGGGCTGCAAGGAAAGCCAACATTTTGGCCCTAGCCTTCCAAGGTCAATTAAGACTCAGGACATATGAGAACTTGTACTGTAACATCATGTAACTCGGTAGTATCCCAAATTTTCTGATCAAGGAGATTATGGGGCCAAAGAGGAAAGTGATCAACGATGTAGAGTGTTCCTAAGGAGAGTCACATGGAGAGAAAACATTCTCTCAGGCTTTCACAGAGAGCACATTGGTCAAGCAATGGCCGTGACTCATCCATATGGCTGACACTGACAAAGGTTCTACAACCTGAGGTACAGGATCTCAGAATAAATCCTGAGGGGATTTCACTGACCTTATCAGATCCAAAAGCTACAACTCTTGTTGCATAGGTCTTACTTTATCTTGGTCTTAACCATCCAGCAGAAAAGTATAAAAACGAAGTATAAGAAGTAAAGCCATGGTGTTTTTTGAGCTGTAGGGGACTCAGGTCAACAATTTCTGACATTGCCAGTCAAGAGGAAGACCCAATACTATTATGGACTACTGGACTCTTTTAGAATATTTTGCTGCGTTAACACACCTATAATATTCAAATGACAGAACTAAACAAAAAAAAGGAATACAGATGAATGTCCATTTTGTATCTGTGTATTGAAAGTGGTTAGGATAGATATATAGTTACATTCTCTTAATGAATAGAGGGATTTGTTCTAATGGTGTTTGTAAATAGGATATCATGTCCGCATCTTGTACAGCAATTAACTACTGGGGAGAATGTATGTAATGTGTTAATTATTTTAACTGTCCTACCAATTTGGTTTGAAACTGTCTCATTGCTATTTGTTTCTCAATAAAATTATGGGGGGGAAAAAAAGAAACCAGGTGAAACATTTCACATGTATTTTACAGAAAAACATGTCAATCTTTTCCCACTTTTAAAGTGTCTTTATTTAAAAGTAGACATATCAGCCAGGCATGGTGGTACATGCCTATAATCCCAGCAGCACTCAGGAGGCTGAGGTAGGACAATAGTTGTGGGGGGTTTTTTGTTGTTGTTTTTTATGAGAATATATTTATTGAGGGAAAGAAAACTCCTGTCCAAGAGAGGGACAGAAGGGGGGCCCGAGTGGGTTGTCCCCGGATAGTTGTGAGTTGAGACTAGCCTGGACTACAAAGGGAGCTCAAGGCCAGCCTGAATTGCATAGTGAGACCCTGTCTCAATGAGACAAAAAAGTAAACATATCAAAACCCCCAAAGAGGGCTGGCGAGACAGCAGACTAAGTGCCTGCTTAGGCAAGTGCAGGGACTGGGGTTCGATCCCTGGCACTGCATGCTTTGCTGGCACTGGTGCCAGCTCTTGACCCCGGGCACAGCTCTGTAATCCCAGTGCTGGGGAGGCTACAAAAAGGAGTATCACTATGAGTCTGAGCTGCCGTAATGAGACCGTGTACCAAATACATAACAAAATAAAAACAAAAAGAAAACAAAGATAAAAGGCAGATATTGTGAGTAGAAGTTCAGAACACAAGACTCTCCATCCTTTTAGCATTATTACCCAGCATAGGCATGATTACTACGCTGGAAACCACAAAGTGCTTCCTGAAGCTACAGAGTAGCAACAGATAAGGAAGAAGATCACATTTAGGGCTGAGGAGATAGCTCCTGTTTGGGAAGCACAAGGACCCAAGTTCAATACCCAGTGCTGCATGCCTCGCGCTGTGCCAGTCCCAAAACTCGGCATGGTGACACACCCATGTAATCCTAGCATTTGGAAGGCTGAGGCAGAAGGATCACTATAAGTGTGAACTGTGTAGCAAGACCCTGCAACAAATAATTTTTTTAAAAAATCATATTTAAACTCTGAACTATAAATACCGTGTGTGGAAGAAGTAATGAAGCCATCTTTGCATGGCTCTCTGAAGGCATTGTGGAATTATACAGGAACATAGCTGAAAGAAAAGAAAAGATTTCAATTTTTTGTCTCATTCGTCTCACTTTCAAATTAGAGGCTTCACACACTGCCAGTCTTAGAGATGCTAAATTTTATTTCAGCATAAACATAGAGAAGCCAATAAGAAAGATGAAAACGGATTTCCTTCTAACGGCTTCTCTTGATGCCAACTCCTCCACTTCTACCCTGACTACGAAGGGGGCACTTGTCATGGTCTTCAGAAAAAAGAGGTGAGCAGAGACTAAGGGAATGTTGATGTGAGCTTGTTTGGAGGTTCTGGCAGGGGAGCGCAGCTATTCATATATCCTTGACCAAGAATGGTCCTCCTCTCGCAGGGATGGTCACCCTCTTAGACCAAGCACAAAGCTTTGGGAGGGACACACATGGATCGTTGAGGGGGGAAGGGGACATCTGCCTAGCCATCCAGATCGGCTGAATCAACACTGGAGACCAATGGGGTGACAGATGTCGCAGCCAGATCCCCCTCACATCCAGGAAATGATGATGTGAAGGCTGCTCTTCCCCCTTCTGGGTTTGATCCCAGTTCAAGTGCCATACCCATATCACTAGCATTAAGCTAGGCCCATCCTGAGTCAATCCCTTTCTTGCTTAGTTTTGTACTTAATTTGGTCCCCAGTTCTGAACCCTCCCTTTGGACCCTGAAGGAGGATAAGAAATCCCATGTTGCACTTCTATTCATCCATCCCAGTTTCACCCATCAAGCCTGGTCAGGCAGATACTGCTCACATCCATGCCCAATAACAGGCACCACATCCAGGTTGAAGAGCCAACCTTGAGAATGTCATCTTACCTCAAAGCATCACAGCGAGGTTACCTTCTGCAGTAACAAAAATGAAAACATACATCTGCCATAATTGAAAGATTAACTGAACCAATGAATTCAAATGGATTGTTTTCTTCCCTGTCAGGAATACTAGTGAGTTATTGTAGACCAGTAGAGTTCAAACTTCAGCATGCTAGGATAATTCTTACCTGCGTTCCACCCTGGACCAGGCTTGTGAGACGATGACTTTTTAAGCAGATGCAAATCATAACAACGCTGGTCAGCACGAAAGCCAGGTAGAACAAAAAGAGAGCCAGGAAATCCATCCCTGAAGCTGCCAAGGAACAAAAACAATATAACTAGCTGCTACTGAAATATGTATTGAATGGCACATATTCTCAAACACTTTAAATGGCTACAAAACAGAATTCATTGGACCTCAAGCACATGCCACAGAGCACTATGGCCTCTGAGAAGCCTCTTTGTGCTTCCCTCCAAGGGGAACCCAGTGGTCTGTGTTTGAGTTATCACCTTCCTGTAAGGCTAGGATAAAGTGAAGAAAAATGTATCTATATTCTTTCCCTCCAGCAACAAATCCTGCTTTAACATCCCTACATTTTGGCAACGCAGGAAGTACCCAAAAGAATGTGCTGATAAAGTGACCAGAGCAAACACTGCCCAGTGGCAATCCAGAGACTTGTCCCCAGGATCAGATGTCCTTGTCCTTTAACACATTCCTCCAGGGCAAACTGTGAGGAACCACCCATGGAAACCTGAGAGCATACATTAATGTTACTAAACTGAAAGTGGTTTACTTTTGGCCTTGGTAGATAAGATTCTGGGCCAGGAAGGCCAGGAATTCCAACCAAGATAATCGAACCAGAAGCTATTCAGTAACATAAAAGAGGAAATGCAGAGCAGCAATTCTCACCAGGTAATTCAAAGTCTCCAGCCTACATCTTTCTCGATTGGCTACTTTTTCAGCCGACAACTTTGGCAGTCATCTTCCCAACATTCAGAGTCAACAGCTCCTCTAGCAGCTCCTCTCAGGCAGAGTAGTGTGAGCACCACTACTGGCGGCACCCCCAGCAGCAGGAGGCATGGTTCCTCCAGGAGGCTGGATGTGATTGCAGAGACAGATCAGTTCACCCCTCACCTAGTAAAAGTAGGAGCCAGCGGCAGAATACATTGTGGAAAGGTTCGGAAGTGGGGATACTGAACACCCAACAGGTGGAATGAGTTACACGACTTCTGAAGAAACAGCTACTTGGGAAAAAACCAGGCAGTAGTCTTGGGCTTATCCTTTCCTATCCCTCTCCGTATTTTTAATTCCTCGTGTGAGCGTGCGTGGTATGTGGTCGGGATTGGGACTGGACCCGGGACCTTAGGCTGAACTCGTCCCCAGCATACTCTGTCTCTGTCTCTCTTTCATTTTGAGACTAGGTCTCGCTAAGTCGTCCAGGTTCTGCTTGAACTTGTGATCCTCTGACCTCAGCGTCCCACAGCGCTGGAATCACAGGATGCACTACCCCCCCCCCAACCCCTTGATCTCTCGCTGTCCCTACTGCTACCCTTATCTGGAGACCAGGCAAACGGCTTCCTTGAGTCTACGCTCTACTTAAGACCTCGCCGGGGCTTTCCCTTGCGTAGGAAGAGGGATGCAACAGGTTCCGAGAGGACAGGAAGGCTAGCTTATAGAAGGTCTGGACCCCGGGGCTGGTCTGTAGTAGACCGGGAGAACCCACTGGGCCTGGAGCCCTGGAGCGTGCAAGGCTTAGCTGACTCAGAAGATCGCAGGCAGAGGGGCCGGGAGCCGGGGCCCGGGGCCCGGGGCCCGGGGCCCGGGGCAGAATAAAAGTAGCACTAGGGAGAAGGAGGTTCAGACACGAAGACGGGCAGCTCCAAGCCCCGCGTAGGCCGCCTTACCCCAAGGTTTGGGGGCAACCGCCAATGCTACAGCGCTACAGCCTCCGGCTCTAACCCGGAGACTTCCGGCGGGCCTGTGATGTCATCGCGACGCGCCGGTCGGCTGACTTCCGGCGAAGGTGGGGCAGGCTGCCGGGATCTATGGGGTTGCTGGTTTTAGTTCGTCCAGGTAATGGGTTTTCAGTGCCGTTTCGAAGTAGACCTGACGAGAGGACGGATCTGCGCCTGGTACAGCAGGCCAATAGGGCTGTGAAGCTAGCACGATCTGGGAGGAGCTCAACCGTGTGTGATTAATGGCCAAGAGGAGTCTGGGGAGGTCCGGGGCTGTTACACTTAAGCTAATACACTGTGTGTCTTCATCGTGTACAGTTGCTCGCCGCCGGCCTCATCGTTGGAGTCTGTTCAGCCCGTTCCAGAGTCTTCCACGGAAGAAGGCACAATATGTACCCATCTAAGTCCGAATCCGCTCTGCATGTGTTCATGCCCTGCTGTTTGCATACAGCCCTGAACATCTCCCCCTGGGGGTCAGTGACAAGTGCCTGACCAATAATCCTCCTGAATAAAAGAGAAGGCTTGTTTTGATGATAGCCAGACTTGGGGTGAGAAAGCTGCTTCCAAACATAGCGTTGAGAAGGCTCCTGCGGGGTGTTCCTGTGCTGTAAATGCCTCCAGATCCGCCTAGAAAGGTCTATTCTTGATGCCTCTGAAAGCCTGAGCGATCCTGTCCTCCCTTTGAGAGGAAAATGTCTGATCTCTAAACACCCGCTTCAAAGCCTGTACTTTTCCTGTTTGTCTTTCTTTGCTGCCTACTTCAGCTTCTTGATTCCCTTTTTTTTTTTTCTCTCCTTCCTGAGTTTGCCGCCTTCTGAGTACATCATTCACCTTCCCAAACTTATGAACACAGAATCTGAACATGCGATATGACCAGAGAAACGGTGTATCGAGTCCATCACAAGGCCAGAACTGGGGTGGGTATCTTTAGGGTCTCCAGCTGACACCGCTCTGGTGGTTGACACTGAGCTGGGGCTCAAATATTTTAAATTGCTTTTTTTCCCTCTTGCATGCAGAACTTTATTTTTATCTCTTTTCATTTCGTTGTGGATAGTTTCAGTTCAAACTAACTTTAAACCTCGGTTTGATCACCTATGGCTTTTTGTGCTGGACTAGCTTTCATTTTTGAGATAAATGCCAATGATAACATTTCTCAGTAAAGAAGTCAAACTATCCAAAACCAAATAAAAAATTTTCCTTGGCCGCCATCCCTCCTGAATCCCAATAAGGATACACATTAAGTATCCTAAAAACCCTTTTGTCTGCGCATATATATATATGTGTGTGTGTGTGTATGTGTGTATATATATATATATATATATATTTAACAAAACATATATTGAGTGCTTAATGTATACTAGGTGCTGTTCTAGACACCAACATTGGTGATAAAACAGAAATAGCCCCAGAACAGTGGCTTATGCCTATGATCCCAACACTTGGGAGGCTAAGCTTGGGAGGATCACTATGAGTTCCACACTCTCCTGGGCTATATAGTGAGTTTAAGGCCAGCCTGAGCTACATAGTGAGAGCATGTCTACAAACAAACAAAAAAATCTCATTGGCCAGGGGAGATGGCTCAGTAGAATAAGGGTTTGCCTGGCAAGTGCAAGGGCCTGAGTTCAATCCCAGTTCAAAAAAAAAAAAAAATCATTGACTTACATATAATGGTTCTCCAGAGATTGTTTTTGACTCAGCTCTGTGTTTTGGTGATCTTTTTGCACCACTCCAAAGTTGTCTTTAATGTGTTGCATCCATGGCTACATAGCTGAATTATGCCTCTTCTATTGGTGTCCCGAACTCCACTGCCTACAGCACTGCAATTAAATGACAAAGTAGAGTAGGCCTTCTTTGTTCTAAGGAGAAGCAGCTATTTATACAGACTACAGGATTGTTGCCCTTAATCAAAGGATACAGAATTCCAAGATTTTAAGGGCATTTGTAAATCTGGATTTTATAACAGAAGGGAAAGGAAACATTCAAAGGGCTTATCCAAAGACTATCTTCTAACTTTTCAACTATCCTCTTACTTCCATTCCTGTTTTGCACAATAGTGAAACTTGCATTATAAGCAGTTGAGGTTTCCTACTCAGTATGTCTGGTACAGTCCTCCCTGCATATTTTTTAGATAGGATTAGACTCATTTCCAACCTTAAGGGTGGGTCCCACCTATTAGATTAGTCTTGGTCAATCAGGGTAATCGTACTGTCCTTACCACAATAATTTTTTCAAATCAGGACAGCCAGAGCATAGCAAGACTTCAGTGCAAAAGAATCAATCACCGTGAAGATTAGGATTCCCCTTCAATGGTTTCTCCTCTCTCACCAAGTTGGATGAAGATATGAAAGGGCCAAATGGACTGGCTCTTACTTATTATCTCAGTATTCTGAGAGGCTGAGGCAAGAGGATCAAAAATTTGAGCCCAGCCTGAGCAGTATAGTGACTTAGGGAGAACTTGTCTGAAAATAAAAGGGCTGGTCATATAGCTTAATGTAAAGGCTCTAGGTTCAATCTCTAGCACTGAAAAGAAGGTGGAGGAGGGAGAACTTAAAGAATTCTTGGAACTTCACTTCCTTTAGGGACCATGAAAGGAGGGGAGCATGAGGATAGGTCCAACACACTAAGGAGTGAGACCTGAGACAGGTACAGAAAAATAGAGCCGAGTGAACCATGCCTGATGCTCAATCCACCTTTGACTTTCTGAGTAGGTGAACCATTTTTCAAACCATATTGAGATATGCTACCTGTAACTCTTCCCCTATTTCATGATTTCCTTGTAAACAATTTTGTTTTTCATCTTTATTTGGTGCAGGGTCTCGCTATCAGCTCAGGCTCATAGTGATCCTCCTGTTTCAGCCTCTGCAGCACTGGGATTACAGGCATGCACCACCATGCCTGGTTTTGGTGGATGGCTCAATAATGGGGCCCCGAGGGGTTGAACCTGGTCTTGTGCTTGCCAGGCAGGCACTTAGACCCCTGAGCTATCTCCCTGGCCCACAAATTTTAACTTTTATTAAAGTATATAAATAATGGCAAAGCCGGGCATCGTGGCACATGCCTATAATTGCAGCACTTGAGAGGCTGAGGCAGGAGGATCACTGTAAATTCAAGGCCAGCCTGGGATACATATCAAGACCCTCTTGCACACATAAAAAAACCCAAAATGTACAAATAATGACAAAAAAATTTCTATCTTAACTGCTACTTTACTATGTATTTTTATACATAGAAAATGTGAACTTTTATATTCACTGAAAAATTTTAAATGGCTATAATCTAGACACTTTTGTAGTATCTGGGCAATTTTGATTTTTTTTAGTTTATCATAAGTGTTTTCCACTAAAAGATAGTTTTATTATTACTTGGAGATACAAGATAATGACCTTAACATTCTCTAATTGTTGGACATTTGTATTTTCCCTTACTCTTTTTTTTTTCCCTTACTCTTTTGTTGTTAAGCGTAGTTCTGCAACTAGACTATTCACTGCTTTTTTTAAATTATTTTTTCATGATGAATTTATCAGTGGTTGGTCAGTTTCTGAAAATCATGTGCTTTCACCATTTTATTTTCCTCTGTTCTTCGCTATCTTCAAACACAAATATTATGCCTGTATTTTATAAGCTGCCATAAGAGAAAACACTATGAAGCCTAAAACTAGAAGTGTAATTCAAGCGTGATACAAAGGATTATATCACCTTTGGTGCACGTAACAAAGAATTCCTCTTAGGAGCATTCCTAAACCCTCTTGTCAGCCTGAAACTGGACCTGTCGTATCAATTGTTTACCTCCTGCAAGATCACTTGACACGATCAACCACCTTTTACACCATGATCACTTGTCCCCAAGGGAACGACTGAAGCAATACTTAGGAAATGGGATACAGGAATGCATAACTGTTCTTGCAATAGGCACATAGCACAGGATGCTTGCTTACAGTGATTTGTTGGTCATGAGGAATTTTACAATGGAGAAACAAAAAGGAGAACCAAGAATGTAACAGGGTCTTGTTCTGTTGCGCAGGCTCAGCTCAAATTCATGATTCTTCTGCCTCCAGCCCCCAAGTAGCTGGGGTTACAGGCGAGTACCAATATGCCCAGCTACAAAAATACAATTTTATGTATTTTTATTTTTTTGGCAGAACCGGCGATTGAACTCAGGCCCTTGCACTTGCCAGGGAAGCAATTATTCTACTGAGCCATTTCTCCAGCCCCTACAAAAGTATTTTTATTGGAGGACAAGGATTGGATGTGTATTTGCTTATTATGTCAACAACAACTGTTCTAATGTCTAGTTCACAGTAAATTCTTAATAAAAATGTGTTGAATGAATGAAAGAAAAAGGGTGAATTGTACCTGGGGGAATCTTGAATGGTAATACCAAGCCAAAAATTGCTCTGGCCAGTAGGTGGGGCCACAATGTGTCACTGTGAGTGGCTCAGAGTGCACCATACGGGTTCTCCAGTCACAGGTTTGAATTTCTACTTGCCTTCAAACACCATACTCAGACGCCATATTAAAAAGGGGTGCTTTTAAAGTAGAATCCCTACTTCCTAGCTGTCTAAACTGATCCTACACCTGTATATCACACAGATATCCTTGTTCTGAATGCTTTGTTGTTGCTTGGGTTGCCGATAGTTCTGCTCACCATCAAGTGTGATATCTCCCCTCGGAAGAAGGCTGAAGAAAAGCAAAGCACAGTATTATAAACACTTTGCTGAGACTTGTGGGGGGAAAGGAAGAGGAATTTCTAGATACTGTGCAGTCATGTGTCTTACTTATAAAACACAGTCAAAACTGCAATAAATGTTTAATCTTTTAAAATTTTAAACTAGGGCGGGGGAGATAGTTCGGTGGTCTAAGCACCTGCCTGGCAAGCTCAAGGACCTGGGTTCAATCCCCAGTACCACATACTGTTGGCAGCCACTGAAACCGATGCACTCCTGTAATCCCAGCACTGGGTAGACTGACACAAAGATCACTAGGAGTCTGAGCTGCATAGCAAGACCCTGTACCAAATAAATAAATGATT